CCCCAGGACATCTACTGGCTGGCCCAGTGTCTCTACCTGACCGCGCAGTACCACCGGGCGGCTCACGCGCTCCGCTCGCGCAGGCTCGACAAAGTGAGTGGCCCGGCGTGTCCTGCCGACCGGGCAGGGACTTCTCACCCTGACCGCGCCCCCTCCGGGCTCTGCCCCCCAGAGGCAGCCAGCTGGGTGCCAGCTCCCGCTTCCAGGCCGGCACCCGGGGCTGGCCCGGCAGCGGCCGCGATCCTCCACCGTGGCGCCAGACCAGCGTGTGCGTGGCCCCGGGCCCGGTCTCTCCCCCCACCCTCGAGGCACTTGCCCTGTCTCGGGGGCACCCAGCCGACTGAGCCGGCACCGGCCCTCTCGGCCCTGCCCCTCCCCCACGTGTCCGCACCCGTGGACGGCAGGGGCGCGAGGGACGTGGGCGGCTAGGGCCTGCGCCCCAGCGGAGGCCCCGGGAGGCGCCGCCAGGGTGGGTCCCTGGTTCCGTCCTTGTTCCTGACCGCTGCGCCGCTGTCTTCCAGCTGTACGAAGCCTGCCGCTACCTCGCCGCCCGATGCCACGTGAGTGCGCTTCCCGCTTCGGCCTGGCGGGCGTCCGGCCGTGGCGGTCTGGGTCCGTGTTGGCGGCACTGCTGGGGCTGCGGCCCAGCAGGGGACGCGCGTCGGTGCCGCGTGCCGGAGCCGCTCTCCCCCGCGAGAGCCCCGGTGTCTCCCGCGGGGGCCCCGCCTGGGCGTCCAGGGGCACGGCGCCGCTGCCCGAGCCCGGCTCATGGGCCTCTGCCCCGCAGTATGCCGCCAAGGAGCACCAGCAGGCCCTGGACATCCTGGACATGGAGGAGCCCATCAACAAGCGGCTGTTCGAGAAGCGCGTGAGGGACGACAGCGGCCCCAAGGAGCCGCGCGCCGACTGGGAGGTGTCGCCGTCCTCGGTGAGCCCCGCTTCGCCAGAGGGAGGGTGCCGGGCGGGTGCCTGCGGCCTGTGTCCCCCGGATCCGGGAGGGGCCTCCCGGGGTGCAGGAGTGCGTCCCCACACTCGGTGCAGCCGTCGCAGCCCTGCGGCCAGGGAGAGACCCAGGGCGCACAGACCCTGTCTCCCCGCTGCCCCGCAGCCGTGCGCCTCGGTGGGGCCGACTGCTCTGCCCCGTCTCTGGCCTGCACCCCGGTTCTCATGCGCGTAAGTAAGTGGGTGAGGCCTTAAAAGCCCCGGAGGCCGTGGCGGCTGCCCCCGGCCCGGGCGTGGACGTGCTGCGGGGCCTCCTGCTCCGCTGGCCCTGCCGGCCTGGTCTCCTCGGCAGGGGATGGAGCTGCACCGTGCTGTGCCGCAGCCCCACGCCCCCAGGCCCCGCTAGCTCTTGAGGAGCCCCGCCGGCGGGCCCCTGGCGTGCGCTTGAAGGCCGGTGGTCTCGCCGCTGCGGCGCATCAGGTCTCTGTCGGCCGTCGGCGTAGTGGTCAGCTGACCTCTGACCCCTCGCCGCCCCGAGAGGCCAGTCTGCGCGGAGCCTGGCCTGCTCCTGCGCTCGGGCCTCTGGCTGGCCGTGCCGTGCGGGGCCACCGCGATGGCCGTCGTGTGCTGGCTGCCTTTCCGCGGCTCCTCATGCTGGGCGGGTCCGAGCCTCGGACCCGGCTGGGTCGCCTGCGCCCTCCGGTCAGTGCCGGCGGTGCCGCCCCGCCTCGGGGAGGGGACCGAGGGCGTGGGGGTCGGGTCGCTTGGCCGGGGCCCCAGGTGTCAGTCTGCCCAGCTCCGAAGGCCGTGGCCTGTGGGCTGCGCCGCCCTGCGGCCAGTTCCCGGGTGGCCGCGGCCCCGTGCTGGTGCGGGCCTTCGGCAGACGTGTGCTCTGTGCCCCAGTGGAGCTGCTGAGGCGGGGGTGGGGCTTGCCCCGCCCCTCTGGCTGTCGGGCAGCGCCAGCGGCCGCACACCCAGCTGGGCCTCGCGACGGGACTCGGCGGCGGCCGGCCGAGGTGCCCCGGCGCGTGACCCGGCGTGTGCGCAGATCCAGAGCTCCATCTGCCTCCTGCGGGGGAAGATCTACGACGCACTGGACAACAGGGCCCTCGCCGCCTGCAGCTACAAGGAGGCGCTCAGGCTGGACGTGTGCTGCTTCGAGGCCTTTGACCTTCTGACGTCGCACCACATGCTGACGGCCCAGGAAGGTGGGAGCCGGGGTTGTGTCCGACAGTTGGCGCGGCCGGGATGGGTCGTGCGGCCAGCGCAGGCTGCTGCG